CACAGCAACTCACCAGCCACCAAAATACGACAAACTGACAGATGAGTGGTGGCCACACTTTTAGGTGACTCTTTAACGTAAACCCCAAACAATCTCATGCTGGTTGTCTTCCATGTGGCCTACATGTATACAGTTGTCATACCTAATAAACCTGGGTATGTTGGTGGATTTCACTGTAGTCTCTTCTACTCTTGGACCATAAACCAAAAGAATAAAGAAACAAACCCATTGTCATAGAGACAATTCCAGTGACCCCATGTATGTCAGAGTAGTACTACACTCCATAGGGTTTTCAATGACTATAATCTTATGGAAGTAGATTTCCAGGCTTTTCTTCTGTAGCACCACTAGATGTATGGAACTGCCTACCTTTTGGTTAGTAGCCAAGAGCAAACTGTTTGTACCATCTAGGGAATCGTCATATGTTTTTATAAAAACAAGCAGTTGCTTTTGAGTAGAACCAACCCACCAGTGACTCCATAGGAGAAACCTGGCAGTTGGCTTCCTAAAGATTGTTGCTGTTGTTAAGTCCCTTGAATTGATTCTGACTTATAGCGACCCTGTATAGGGTTTCTGAAGAGTGGTTGGTGGGTTTGAACTGCCAACCTTTCTGTTAGCAGTCCAGGGCTTATCATACAGCACTACACTCTGATTCATAACAACCCTGTTAAGGGTTTCCAAGAAGCAACTTGTAGGTTTAAACAGATGACCTTGCAGTTAGCAGTCCAGTGCTTATCCTACAGCACCACTCCAAGACAACCTTGGAAACCCTCTGTCCTAAAGGGTCATTATGAGTCGAAATCAACTTGACTGCATAAGGTTTTTTTGGTTAGCATTTACCAAACAAGCAATTTTGAGATCTGAGATAACACAGGCAAGTCCACCCTTTTTCCAGGAACAAATGTGTCAGGGTTTTAGAATGGGATGTCAAATCATGCCTTCTCAGAGGAAAAAAATCCCTCAGAGCTGTTAGAACTGTGGGTATTGTTTGAGTTGTTGTTGTGAAGTGCCATCAATCTGGCTCTGACCCATAGCGACGCTGTATAGGGTTTCCAAGGAGCAACGGGTGAGCTTGCGGTTTTTCAGTGCGTTAACCCACAGCGCCACACCAGTTTTTCAGCACATTAACCCACAGCGCCACACCAGGACTCATTGCTTGAGTAATTTATTTCAAAAACCTAAAACTGAACAAAACAACAAAGAAGCAAAAATCTATATAAACAAATTGGCAAAATGTGAACATGTTGGATATTGTAATGGGCATTAAGAAGTTCATCATACTGTTTTCTCTAGTTTGTGCATTTGGACACTTTTATAATAGAAATAAAATAAAACTGAAGCTGGGAATCAACACTGTCTTTAACCTCCTTTAGGAAGCAGGTGTCAGAAGACACAAAAGTGGAGCAGAAATAATGTAGATCATGCATCTTTACAGATTCCATTAATATGGTAATATTATGACAGATCCAGAGCTGTTCTTATTTGGCCTAGAAAGTAAAATGTTTAGAAGCAGAAATTTTTGCCTAGGAACTGGGTAGGATCAGAATTTGCAAAACTAGAATATTTAGAGATGATCTCAGTCTACTCCTCACTTGACAAATGTGAAAACTAATGCACAGAAAACAAAATAATGAATCAACTTTAGACCCAGGACAAAACCCCAGGACTCCTGTACTCTGTCTCAGTCTCCTTCCATCATGTAAGTTGGCAGGTGGTGTCGAGCAACAGCTTCCAAAGATGGAATCTAGGAGGAGGGATAGGTGTTGTCCTTCAGGCGCAGTGCTTTCTCTTCTGGATCCTTTGACTCTATCATCTTGTTGTGTGCAGGTGGGGCCTTCTTTTGTTTTGCAGTGGATCCTCAGAGACAGAACTATAGCTAGACTTAAAAAGATGAATGCTAAATGCAATGGAATTTATTACATTACTGCCTCTCACCCTCATAATTGTCCAGCCAGGTTGGATCCAGGGTGCTTCAAGGGAGAATAAACCTGGGTCATTGATGTGAATTACACAGTTTTAGACACATATATGGCTGGTAGTTTCAAACCGCTGACATCGAGGTTAGCAGCCAGGCTCACAACCACTACACTAAATGTTTGGATAGGAGTGCAATTTCAGTGCTTGCCACAGGCTCTTTTTCCATAGATATGCTCTCTGATCTGGATAAGGCATGTAGGTGACTTGATTTTCCCTGTTCTCTGGTGGCCAAGAAAGAATCCGGTTCCCAGAATGCACTCCCCTATTTTGGATCAGCATAGACTCAGATACATCTAGTCCCTGTGTTTATATTTTATAGGGCTCTAACATAGATTACTAGTTTAGAAGCAATGGGTACAGTCACTGAATGCAATTACATGCTGTAGAGTAACTTGGGAATGAAGGTGAGGCTCTAGACTCCACAGAATCCCATTCAGGTCTCCTTCAAGTTGACCCATGTAAACCTGCAATTAAGTAAAAACAATGTAGTCAATATGTAACTACAGCGTCAAGTCAACCCCCTCATCTCCCCATTCCAATCAGAGGGCTGCCCTTCATCCCCTTTACATAAAAATCCTGGAGCTGCCAAAAAAGCAGCTTTAATGACCAAAACGCCTTTAATCTAGAATTACAAGAGATAGTTTATAGGCTGACTGTTGGCTGATTTAAAAAAAAAAAAAAAAAAAATGTTGCCAACACTTGCAATTTGGGAGAACTCAGGTATTTTTTTTTTTTTTTAAATCTAGATTTCAGTTTCTTGTGGAAAAACTGGACAGTCTCACCACAGTGCGGTGGAAGGGGGGTAGTATGTGATATTCCCACATGGTCCATACAGATCCTCGAGGTTGGAACAGAGACTGCCTACTGCTCAGACAGGGCGTGAACTGCATGAACTGTCTGAGCCCTGCCTTCATCTGTTGTTTGGGGTTCGTTCAGCTTCTTGAAGACTTACCTTCTTGTCCTTCATGATGTTATCGAAGGTTTCTTCCAACGACTATTTGATAATTTTCTCTGTGCTTTTAATTGTCTCTTCCTGTTTTGGAATTTTAATCACCTGTCAATTGTTTCTCCCTATGGTGCCCCACATAACTCTTAGGCTTTATTTGGATTTTTTTCATATTTTCTGATTGTTTTTCTAGTGTACTAGTATTGAGAGCTTTATCTTTTAATAGTATTATCTATTTCTGAGATCTTAGTATTAATCTTCTGGATTTCTAATTGCAGATTTTATATATTATATTATATTATATTATTTCAAAATTGCATTTATCTGTTTGTTCTTGTAGCATTTTCCTGAATTATCTTTTTTTTTTTCTGTATTCTCCTTGCTTTTCTTGATCTTTCAATTAATCCGTTGAAGGTACCAAAATATTAGTCTTTTGAATTCTTTTTTAATTAGTTTCATTACCTTTTTTCCCTCAGAAATGTTTTCTGTCTCTGAATATTTGTCATTTGTTTGGGCCCTTCTCTTGTTTATTCGAGTGAGCTAAAATGGCATATTGTCTCTAGGGCACTGTGGGGTTGTCGTATTTGTAGAAACAGTGCAGTTGTTGGACCCATAGGGGAGAAGTCTCTAGGAGACTCCTGCAATTCAAGGAGCTCATGAAGTGGTTGTGGAAGGGATGTGACAGCAGATTCCTGGTCTTGATGTTAGCTATGGTCAGGAGGGTACTCAACCCCAAAGTAGTTTGTAGAGGTCCTTGATAAAGCTGGTGTCAATGTCTGTTAGGACCACAGGAAAACTGGGGGCAGGGTGGCTGGTTAAATGCTGTTCTGGTGACTGTGGGTTCTGTAGGTCTAGAGCTGAGCCTACCTGAATCCAGGCATCAAAGCTACAAACCAAAGTGGTGCAGCCAGCCCTCAACTTACATTGGAATGGCTCAAAACCATGTGGCTCTGAACTCTCCAAGAGGAGGGTCTGCACTGGGAGTGTGGTGAGGGTGAGAGCTGGCTACACTTTTGGTCACCAGAGGAGTGTGAGGGGAAAAGAGGTAATTGCACCTTCCCCATCACCTGTGCGAATCTGCTCTGCCAGGTCTCCCTCTGCTGCCAAAGCTGCTCACAAGATGGTTGAGCCACGTCTGGCCAGGCGTTCACCAGTCAGTCTCCCTCTCTTGCTGTCCCTGCTCGGCCTCTTCTCCCAGCCACCACCTCCATCCACCTCTCTAACCTTTCTTCTGAAGTTCCACATGCCAGAATTGTCATCTGTGTCTATTTTACTTCGTGTCTCATATCTTTCTTGCAGAAAGTCCATGTAGCGTGTCTGCCTCATCTGCCATCTTGCGGGAAATCTCCCCTGCTTTAATCTCAGACTGGTTAGATTTTGTTGCTTAGAGCCAGTTTTGGGATGTAAGTGTTGGGGCATTCTTAAACAGCCTGCTTGGTTGAACTGCCTGTGTGGGCTACTTCATTCTTTACATTAACTAGCATATGTATTTTGCACGTAAAATACATCTCTCCGAGGTGCCAGCATGACTCTCTCTGGGTAGGAAGGAAGACTGACAGCGTTTGCATCTATTTTTGCCCTCAACATTTGGACTATACCTTTAAGGTATAGACTATACCTTTAAGTGTTCAGTGTGAGAGGGTGGACAATGTCCAGGAGGGGTTCTAAGGAGCAAAGATCCGTTCCAATATTGTAAACAAATGCCAAAGGCACCTTCATTAAAAGCTTATTCGCCTTAACAAATGTACCAGAGTGGATTTAGAGGGCAAAAGATTTGGCTAAGGTGGTCCAGGAATGAAGCTCCCAGGCCAGTTGTCACTTGGAGACAATGAGGAGGGTGGATGAGGGCAGGAATGGCCCCCCGCAGGCCTGGTCCATGCAGGCGCTGCCACACAAAATCGGCGGAGAGGCATTGATCGCGAGCTGTTCTCCTGCTGCAGGAGCCATTCACCGCACGGAGCGCAAAGCCGCTGGGAGAAAGTAACCCAGGAACTAGGCCTCCATAGGGTGTTGGCGAGTCTGCGCAGGCGCTCCGGTGTACCGACGCCGGTGAGTGCGCAGGCGCCCATCCTAGTCGTTCTAGTTCTGTAAACAGAGGGTATCCACTGCGAAACCTCCGACTTCCGGGTCACGCCTTGACAGTGGCTTTCACCACCCAGCCCTGCCTTGCGATTCGGTGAGTCAGGCTCTCGGTGTGGGGAGGTCTGCAGCCAGGTTCCCCACCCTGGGACATTGCATCCAGTAACGCCTCCTACACTTCCCTGTCGGAGCCCGGGAGCCTTAGAGACTGCGTGAGACATAGTCCCGGGCCTTGGGGAGAGATAGTGCGAGGGCTGATCCGCTTCTGGGCTTCCCAAGCGCAAATTGCGCGACCCTTTTTCAGAACCGGCTCTAGGAGATTTGCCAGGATTGCAGCAACCTTTTGGGAGCCCATGGGGAAAGTGACACCACACGTCCTTGCATGCTGTGCCCTTGCCGTCTGCCCTCTAGCCTCGGAGAGACCCAGCTGCCGCGAGCCCTACTGGGCCTGGGTAGTGCGGTAGGTAGAGGCGCATCTGCTCCGGCCCGGGTGTTTTCGCCAGGCGGAAGCTCAGGCCTTTCTGGAGCCGGAGGTTGAACGTCGCCTTTCCCACTTTGCTTCCTTCTAGCGTCGCAATAAGAACTTCGTGATTTCTCCGGATCTTGTAGTGAAAGAATCTGGAAGAGAGGCCTTTTAACTTCAGCAGACTAGGGCTCAACAGGGTGCAACCGTGCATGGGTGCATGAAGAGAGGTCATGTAGGTTTCCTTGACCCTGGCACTGCCAGATAATGCGCTGGGCTGTTTGAACCGCACCAGACGCTCCTTGGAAGCCCTATCCAGGGCCGCTACAGGTCGGAACCTACTCAAAGGCACATAACAACGACCTTTCCTTTCAGGGAATGGTGTCATTTTGCTCTGAAGTTTCACTCTTCAACTGGGAGTGTCAGAGCTGCAATATTCAACCAGTGGTTATACTAGTCGCTGAGCCCTGGTGTGGCACTGTAGGATAAGCACTGGACCCAAGGTCGGTGTGATCCTCAAGGCCGGCAGTTCAAACCTACCAGCCTCTCCTCGGATATCCTATACAGTGTTGCTATAAGTCAGATCCCACTCGACAGCTCAGAGGTGTCGGTCTCCCAGAAATGGTTAAGGATCACTTCAGTCCAAACCTTTTTTAGAATTGGACTTAAATGAGCCTCCTCCTTGGTACAAAGAAGTATAAGATACAGACCTTTTTCTCGGAGAAGCTTACTGGCTGTTGGAGAGATGGAAATATATGGCAAATCTAAACTATCTAGAAAATTTCAGAGACATAAACATACATGTAAGCTCATTCATAGTAAAGTAGAGGGGGTAAATGTGCAGTTTGAATCATTGATACATGTGAGTTGAATATTTTTCACTTAATTTCTATTAAACTAAACATTTCTATTAATTAGTACTATATATTTTTCTCATGGTCAGCAGTTAGAAATTATCAGCTGTTCCGCGGGAGAAAGATGAGGCTTTCTGCTTCCATAAAGATTTACAGCCTCAGAATCCCCTGTGCAGGGTCGCTATGAGTAGGAACAAAGATAGTTGTTAAGTGCCTTCGAGTCGGTTTTGACACATAGCGATCCGTATAGGGTTTCCAAGGAGCAGCTGGTGGGTTTGAACTGGCTACCTTGTGATTCGAGGAGCTCTGGTAGCATAGTTGCTACCAACTACGTAGTTGCTGAACCTCAAGGTCAGCAGTTCAAAACTACCAGCTGCTCTGCTGGAGAAAGATGAGGCTTTCTACTCCTATAAAGATTTACAGCCTCAGAAACCCTGTTCTGGGTCGCTATGGGTCAGAACCGACTTGATGGTGCTTAACAACAACAACAACCTTGTGGTTCACAGCCCAGTGCTGATCCTATAGCGCCACACCATATATGTAGTTTGGTGAACATGACCAGCTTCCCAGAGTGTACAGTTCCATATTTATATAGATATAGATATATAGTCCTGATGTGGTGCTGTGGATTAATGTGCTGGATTGCAAGGTCGATTTGAACTGCAAGGCTGGTGGTTCAAGCTCACCAGCTGCTCCTTGAAAACCCTATACAGGGTCACAATGAGTTGAAACTGACTTGACATCACTTGAAAACAACAATAAATATATATAGAGAGAGTCCTGGTATAAAGATGCAGGCTCAGCACTGGACCTCCAGGTCAGTTTGAACTGCAAGATCAGTGTTTCAAATCCACCAGTAGCTCCTTGGAAACCCTATACAGGGATGCTATGAGTCAAAACAACTTGACGGTGCATAAAACAGCAACATCTATAAGTATACTGTATATTTTTAAGCCTATAGACTAGCAAAATAGAAACTATTAGAATTTATAGTTGTTGTTAGGTGCCATTGAGTCGGTACCGACTCATAGCGACCCTGTGCACAACAGGATGAAACACTGCTCAATCCTGGGCCAACCTCACAATTGTTGCCACGCTTGAGCCCATTGATGCTGCCACTTTGCCAATCCATCTCGCTGGGGTATATCCCACAATATATTGGGAGCATAATGACTCCATACAACAAGCACTATACTGCGAACGACAAGGTCTGTGGTTCAAGCTCCCCAGGTGTTGCTCCACAGGAGAAAGATGAAACTTACTGCTTCTATGAAGATTTAAAGTCTTGGAAACCCTGTACAGGGTTGCTATGAGTTGGAATGGACTTGACAGCACTTAACAACAACCCACAATATATAAAGGGTTGTTGTATTAAAACAAGCAAAATTTGCATATTATGAGATAGTCAAAGTAACTCTTCTTTTAGTAATCATTGTACACATAATGTACTTAATTATTGCAAGTATTGACTTTATTAGGATTCAAAGTAACAAGCTTTTTATTGGTTCAAAAATATTGAGAACCTGCCATGTGTTAGGCACTGTTGGAAAGAGACATAGTCTTTATCCCCAAGGAGTTTATATTTTCACAAGAAAATAGAACCCTGAACAGTAAACACTTAGAGAGTTGATGCTATATAAAGTTTTCTTGACAATTTTTTATTTGTATTTTTTCATAGAAGTGTTCCACCTTATTTGCTGTAGTATTGAGTGTTCCCAGCCAGAACCTCTTACTAAGCCAAAACTTTTCTCATGGTTGAATTTAAGTATATTACATTACTTCTTTCATCCTAAAATTCTCTGTAATGTGGTTAGGATATATTTGCTCAACTCTATTTCTCAATTGTCATAAATAACTATTAAAATAATGAGTTCAAATTATGTTCTTAAATTTGCTTTTCTAAAACTTGAAAGTATATGTCACTGGTGTGAAGGTGGAATTTTTTCCTCTCTAATTTTATATGGTAGCGTAGTGGTTACGAATCGGGCTGCGAACCTTAAGGTCAGCGGTTCGAAACTACCAGCCGCTCCGCGGGAGAAAGATGAGGCTTTCTACTCCCGTAAAGATTTACACCCTCGGAAACCCTGTACAGGGTCGCTATGGGTCGGACCCGACTCGATGGCACTTAACAACAACAACAACAATTTTATATGTAAGGAGCTCTGGTAGCGTAGTGGTTATGAATCGGGCTGCGAACCTTAAGGCCAGCAGTTCGAAACTACCAGCTGCTCCGCGGGAGAAAGATGAGGCGTTCTGCTCCCGTAAAGATTTACAGCCTCGGAAACCCTGTACAGGGTCGCTATGGGTCGGAACCGACTCGACGGCACTTAGCAACAACAACAATTTTATGTGAATTATTCCAGAATAGGTGCACTTTTGCTTCCTATACTACAATATTTTAAATGTTTCTCAGTTTTTTCTTTGCCTTGTCAGTAGTAACAGATGCATTTGTTCCATCGCATTCTCCCTCTCTTTTCACAGGTAACAGTGACTTCCATACTTTTTAGTCAGTCAACTAAGCAATATTTCTGAACGTGTGCTTTTTGTGAGACTCTGTGGTCAAAAGCACAAGACAAGGTCCTTTGCTCTCTTATCAACTACAATTTACATTGAGAAATAATATTTATGTAATAACATACCATAAGGCCAATATCTTAAATAAATAACCAAGAAGGTAGTGTTGATAATAAAGATGACAGAAGTGCAGAAGAGGAAAAGAATGCCTTTAGCATCTTTGTTGTTGTTAAGTGCTGTTGAGTCGATTCTGACTCACAACAACCCTATATAGGGTTTCCAAGGAGTGACTGGTGGGTTTGAACCAGCAACCTTGTGGTTAGTAGCCCAGTCAGTGCTTATCATACATCACCATATCAGGACTCTCGCCACAGTCTCTTTAGCCTTTAAAACCCCCTTCCTTGCTTAGTTTGTGAGTAACATAGCGTTCCATGGGAGCTCTTTGCACCTCCTAGAGAAGTCTCATGCACACTATTGGAGAGTAGAACAGAGGTACTAAGAGCCAGGGCATTTGCGTCCAGATTTACCAAGCTCCCTAAACAACTGTTAACAACTGTTATCGATGTCCTTATAACTAAGAATAAATTATATTAATCATGAATTTCTCAAAATCTGCTTTGGTACTGGGAAGACCTCAGATAACCCTAACCCTAAAGGCAGGTATGCTCGGTGTATGCCTAACACTTCTTTGTTTCTCGCAGTTTGGAGCATGTGAGCATCCTTGGAGCCTTGATGAGTTCCAGTATGTGGTATATTATGCAGAGCATTCAGAGCAAATACTCTCTCTCAGAGCGCTTAATCAGAACAATTGCTGCCATCCGTTCCTTCCCACATGATAATGTAGAGGACCTCATCAGAGGGGTGAGTGTGCCTTTGGGCAGGTAAAGTGGGAAAAGTCCTGAGGAACCCTAATCTAATACAGATTTGCAGCTTTGACTCAGTACAAGATCACAAGGAGTTACTACAGTCTTCTTAAATGTATTCATTGTTCATTAAGATGTATTCCCTGAGCTTTGTTTCTCTTCACTTCTCCCTTTCACATTGTATGTCTGGTAGAAATATTCTAGACGATGTTAGTCTCATTTTCTGTGTAAAATTTCTGTCTGAATATGATAAATATGGAGTCCAGCAAGTTCAAGGTCTTCTATCCATATAGTAATGTAGGAAGGAGTGGAGCAAAGCAGAGGGGGCTGTCAATTTCTTTGAGAGCCTTTCTTCATATATCTGGGTTATAATTACATGAAGAGATTTCACTTGCTTTCTATCTTATTAAAAACTACCACTTTCTACCCCTAAAAGAAAACTGCATGGTAATTTGTAATTTAGGAAATTTTTCACTATTAGTTATGTAACCATTGCTATTTAGTCGTTGTTTTATGACTCGTATCCTAAGTGTTTAATCCCTTCTTCGGTATATTATTCCCGTTGAAGAGAAGTTCTAGAGTAGTTTCACGATCACTCGAAAATGCACCCAGATGGTTACTTCTGTGCCTGATTTTGAACAAGGTTTAAGCACCTTATTTATAGCCTGGAACCCTGTCGCTGCTTCAGCTATGTGGCACAACTGAGAGGGAAAAGTCAGACAGTGTTATTAGCTCATTCTCACAGAAGTGGTATAAGAAGGCTCTGTCACGTTCTAATTCTAGCTCTGCCGCTGAGTCATTTGGTGACTTTGATCTTGATCAGACTGTAGTTTCTCCATCTCCTTTATCAGATTTGAAATAGAAGCACCAGGAGGGGCAAGGTGACAGAGAATGTTGATGCCAAGAGACTTCTTTGAAGATGTTGATAAATAAAAAGATCACAGTAAGATGACCCTACTATTTAGTGATGGTCATCTCTTAAATGCCAAAAAGAGCAAAGCCTTCCTAGTTCTGCTTGCCTCAGTCTGACAGACTCATTTTCCTGAAATTTTCAAAGTATGTTGTTAAGTGCCGTTGAGTTGGTTCCGACTCATAGTGACCTAGTGTAGGGTTTCCAAGGAGCAGCTGGTGGATTTGAACTGCTGACCTTAGTGGTCATAAAAAGTGGATTTCTGGTCCAGCTCTCCTGCCTATCGGTGGGTTCCCAGTATGCTTACATGTATGGTTAAGACCTCAACAATGTCCAGTTGACCATATGGAAGGCTCTAAGAAATTGACAGATCCTTCCATTTTTCTCCACTGTATTCCCTAGTTTTGAACATTGGCATTTAATTTATAGAAATGGAGACTGGGAACCAGTGGTCTGTTTACGATTTACTTAGACCCAAACTCTCCCCTTCAGCCCCAGCCCCAGCCCCAGCCCCAGCTCACTTCTGACTGAAGTCTACTCCTGCCCGTAGGGAGCAGATGTGAACTGTACTCACGGCACACTGAAGCCCCTACACTGTGCCTGTATGGTGTCTGATGCTGACTGTGTGGAGTTACTCCTGGAAAAGGGAGCTGAGGTAATGTTTTCAACATCTTTACGTTAATGATTCACTAAAACTTGACTTCAATTTCTTTCAGTCTCTCTTCCCACCTCCCGCTTTATCTTCTCATTTACAGTAGCATTGTGTATAACCTATATTAAAGCAAAATGTAGTGGGAGATATATACAGTAATCCTAAGGATTTCATTTCTTTGTCTTTCTTTTGTTTAAGCCTCCATGAGTCCAGGAAAAAGGCATTTTCTCCCTTTTCCCTTTTAGCTCACCTTCTGGTAGTTATTTAATTTCTATTTAGCCTTCTCAGGCCATATTGATTATCTACTTCCTTCAACTCTGATTAAATCTAAACCCTCTGAGACCAGCTATCCCATGTGTGGGAATCCCTGGGTGGTGCATATGCTCAGCTGCAAACCAAAAGATTGGTGGTTCAAGTCTACCTACAGGTGCCTTGGAAAAAAAGGCCTATTGATTGATTTCTAAAAAATGAGCCATCGATAACCCTGTGGAGCACTTAGAGTCTTACTGTGACACATCTGGGGGCACCATGAGTCAGAATCAACACGATGACAACTGGTTGGACATTCCTAGCTGCTGCAGATGGTTAACGAAAGGTTGGCAGTTCAAACCCTTCCATTTGAGTCCACAAGCATGTTGGCAGAAAGGCCTGGCAGCCATCTGCTTCTGTAATGTCACAACCTTGAAAACCCTACAGAGGGCCTTCTAATCTACACATATGGGGTCTTCATGAATTGGAACCAACTTGATGGCAACTCGATTTTTTGCTGTTTTGTTTTATCAGATGACTTACTGAGGGATGAACATCTCTAGGCAATCCCTCCGTCAGGATGAGGACACTTATGCTATTTCTGCCCACTAACTTTTCTGTCTTGAATTCTGATGTGGTGCTGTAGGATGTGCACTAGAGTGCTAGCCACAAGGTCAGTGGTTCAAACCCACCAGCCACTCCTTGTACCCTGCACAGGTCTCTATGAATCAGAACCTACTCGATGGCACATAAGTGATTTTCTGTTTTAGATTATCTTGTTCATATCTTCTTTCTAATGTATCAAGATAAACACATGGATTAATTTTCTTCAGTAGACCCATGGCATTAGCAAGAAGTAGCGTAGTATAATCAATGGTAGACTGCAGCCAGACTCGATGGGTCCATAGTCCAAATATGCTACTTACAGCTGAGTAGCCATGAACAAGTTGGTTAAAAGAAAAAAGAAAAGAAAAAAAAAAACAAAAAACTTTTTTTGCCTGTCTCCCCATCTGTAAACTTGGAATGATAATTGTACCTTCTTCGTAAGACATGTAGTAATTGCTAAGTTTGTTGTTGTTAAGTGCCGTCGAGTCGATTCCGACCCATAGCGACCCTGTATAGGGTTAAGTGTTTATTAAATAAGCAAAGTAGCAGTTTTGACTGTGAGTAATCTTAAACGCTTGCTTGCTGAGGCCCTCATTGGAATCAAGTCATGAAGCTGTGTGCAGGCCCCAAACACACTGGTCAGTAAGCCTCAGCGCCCAGTCATCTGGCATTATCATTCCGCATGGATGGTGTCTCACTGTTGTTACCTATTCTGTTACCTTTATGACTGAAAGCTCTTTCTTTGTGAAACAAAAGCCAGTGATTAATGCCAATGAGAAAAGCAAACATACCCAGGGAAATACAAGTTTTTAGCCATATAGAAGGTTGAACTCACATGTTGTGGTTTGGCTTTATCGCATTTGATGAGGGAGAATAACACATTATATATCTGGGGATTTGAAGTAGCCTTTAAAACTCACAGGCATTAGGAGCTGATTCCTTGGTGGAATTCTTAGCTTCCATGTGGGAGATCTGGTTCGATTCCCAGTCAATGCACTTCATGCACAGCTACTGTCCATCTGTCATTGGATGCTGAACAAATGTCAGCAGAGCTTCCAGACTGACAAACTGGTAAGAAAGGTCTGGTGGTCTCCTTTGAGAAGTCAGTTAATAGAAATCCTATGGGTCGCAATGGCTCAGTCTCCATCATCATGGGGATAACAGTGTGTTATTCCAGAGTGCATGGGGTCACCATGAATCAAGGGCCAACTCCACAGCAGCTAATAAAAAGGACAAGATGCCAATTCTCAGCAAGCCAGCTGCTCTCCCAGCAATGGAAGATTTGTGGTGTTCCCTCCACATGTTTTAGCAAGTTCTCTTGTGAACTCACAGCATATTGTTACAAGGGGCTGACTTAACAATTAGAGCTGCTCTGAATGGTTAAAGAGTACAACAAAGCTACATGGGCAGCTTTGGCCTCATTACTTTTTAGCTTAGTTGCATTAGCCACAGGATAGAGAATCAGGATAAGTGAAACCATCCTAAACCTTTACTCTGGCTGGTACATTCAAGTTGCTCTCCAATGTCTTTTAGAGCAGTTACAAGGACCTAGACTTCATCTTCTCATTCTTTTCACCTATGGTAGAAATTCTAATGAATAGTAAATAAGAGAAATGATATAACAACAAAAACCTGAATAATGCAGGCCAGCTAATAAATGCAGGTAAGAGTGGAGCTCCTGTCATACCTCCATCCTGATCACCAACACTCCCTGGGTAATACTTGCTGGCCCTTCTGTTGAAATACTATGTAAGAAAGATGCTAGGTCTATACATGTGTACTTTACTCCCTATCTTGTCCCCAGTGTGTGTCTACTGTAATGGTTCTTCCTCTTTACAGGTGAATGCCCTGGATGGTTATAACCGAACAGCCCTCCACTATGCAGCTGAGAAAGATGAGACTTGTGTGGAGGTCCTGTTGGAGTATGGTGCAAACCCCAATGCACTGGATGGCAACAGAGACACCCCACTTCACTGGGCAGCGTTTAAGAACAATGCTGAGTGTGTGCGTGCCCTCCTAGAGAGTGGGGCCTCCGTCAATGCCCTGGATTACAACAATGATACACCTCTCAGCTGGGCTGCCATGAAGGGAAATCTTGAGAGCGTCAGCATCCTTCTCGATTATGGTGCGGAGGTCAGGGTCATCAATTTAAAAGGCCAAACACCCATCTCTCGCCTGGTGGCTCTGCTAGTCAGGGGACTTGGAACAGAGAAAGAGGACTCTTGTTTTGAGCTCCTCCACAGAGCTGTTGGACACTTTGAATTACGAAAAAATGGCATCATGCCCCGAGAGGTGGCCAGAGACCAGCAGCTTTGTGAAAAACTGACTGTTCTGTGCTCAGCCCCAGGAACTCTAAAAACGCTCTCTCGCTATGCTGTGCGCCGAAGCCTGGGACTCCAGTATCTTCCAGAGGCAGTGAAGGGCCTTCCACTGCCAGCTTCTTTGAAGGAATACCTGTTACTTGTAGAATAACATGGAAGAGAAGCTTGTACTATCATGTAGGCAACTCTGGGTGAGGGTCTCCCCTGCAGTACTGTCTCTTTGCCATAGAAAACAGAGAAAGCAGCTGTTCCTACTGTGTGGTTTGTAGACTTTGAGGCAACATGTCAGAACAATAACTCCCACACCACCTCCCCTCTGCAAACCAACCAACCAACCAACTAAGAAAAACAACAAGAAAAAATCTCTCACTTTTGTTTTCTGTTTATTGTTCATTTAACTTTTTATATTGCACCCTGCAAAAGAGAGGTCTCCCCCACTCTCCTCTTTAGGGAAAGACTCAACAGTGCAATTGAATTTCTATAGGATGATGACAAGTATTTAAAGAATGTGTGTTTGATTGTCCTTTCCCACTAGAAGAATCCCTGTAGAATCATTCTAATTGGTCTGTGAAGAGAAACAATAGTTGTGACCCAAATGTGAAGATACTGCAGTTTCAGATGCTCCTTAGAGTGCCACATCTCCATCAAAGTAGACAGCAGTGTTTGCCTCTTTTTCACGGGTATGTACAAGGATACAATAGTTCAGCAATGTTACTGTAATATGTGGCTGCTTTCCACACATTAGAAGAAATAGGAGATTCTAAACCGTCCTAAGAATTCCTGTTCTCTTGTGGCTCTTTTTCTTCTTCAAAGCTGATTTGCTCGAATGGACTTAGCAGACATTTTTTGTAGCTTATTGTACCTTATTGTAGAATAAGGTGTTTTTTGCTCTAGCAGGAGAGGAATATGGGCTAAGCAGCTTTTTCCTGAGGGTCCTCTTCATTCACTCTGCTTAAGAAGTTAGAATTATTTTTCTTTCAGTTGTTTTTGGAAACTGATTTTTATTGATCTATACAAGACTTCTGGTGTGGTGCTGTAGGATCAACACTGGACTACGAACCAGAAGGTTGGTAGTTCAAGCCCACCAGCTGCTCCTCAGCAATCCTATACTGGGGTTTCTCTGAGTCAGAACCAACTCAGTGGTACTTACAAATACAAGACTTCCGGGGTAGTGCAGATTGGGGAATAAGTGGGGGAAGTGTTATGTGAATTTCTTTGGAAATGGCCCAGCTACCCAAAAAGGATCTTTTTTAATCACTAGTACAAGGGAAACTTCAAAAAGTTCATGAAAAAATGAAATGATAATGGAATTTTCCCACAAACTTTGAAGTCCCCTCATAGTCACAATACTCTTCCATCTTCCTAGACTAGGTCAAGTTGTTACTGATCTTAGATGGCCTGTATGCAAATTTAAAGTTTTGTTTTTTTTTTTTTTTGATTGGGAAGCACAAAAGTGAATGGAATCTGTTGACACAACTAATTTCTGAGAGTATGTCTCGTTTTGATCTTTTGCTTGTTGGTGTTTTTTGCCCACTTAAAAAAAGAAATAAATAGTTCTTAAACCAAATGTGGCAATTGCTATTACTTTTCTCCACTTTTTCCTGGGTTCCCCCCCCCCCATCCCCAGTTTCTTTCTGCCTGCCTGGGACTTCAGTGCATTTTTCCATAACAACCTTATCTATCAGCAAGCGATTGAGACACTGGTAAACAGGAAGACTTGGATAGAGTAATCTGGAAAAGTTTCCCTTTCTCCCCCAACCCCAAATTTGGAATTACTGCTTTTATGGGTTTCAACCCTAGATGCACATTCAACCGCAATGGGAGCTTCTTAAAAGCACTGATGCCAGACCAATTATCTGAGTCTCTTGGGGTCTATTTGAGGACATGATGCTTTTCCAGAAGCTTCTGTGCAGCCAGAAATGAGAACCATTGCTTTAGTCAGTGGTTCTCAAACGTAGCTGTTTATTAGACCTGACTCTGGTAGCATAATGGTTACAAATTGGGCTGCTAATCTCAAGGTCAGCAGTTCAAAACTACCAGCGGTTTTTCGGGAGAAAGATGAGGCTTTCTGCTTCGGTAAAGATTTACCTCAGAAACCCTGTACAGGGTCGCTATGGATCGGAATCGACTCAACAGCATTTAACAACAAGGGCACTATAAAAAATACTAAGGCCTGGGCCCCACCTCCAGAGATGGATTTAATTGGTCTCAATTAGGTCTGGGCCTGAGTGTCTTGTATATGTTCAAACTCACCAGCTGCTTCTCAGGAACCTTATACAGGGTTGCTGTGAGTTGGAACTGACTCAGAGGCACTTAACCACATGTATGATTTGGGTACAAATTTATAGAGCAATTTAGTTTCCCATTCACTTTATACACATTTCAACAATGTATCCACCTTTCATAACAGTTACAATCCCTTCAATGAAACAGCACTCTTCCTCCTTCCTCCCTGGGTTCTCCATTTCCATTTGCTGCACCAGCCCCCCCCCCACCTTTCTGCCTTGAAGGGCAAGTGCTACCCTTTAAGACTCGTATGATTAGCTGTTCTGAGGAGTCCATTCTGGCATGAAGATTTTTAAAGACACCCCAGGTGACTCTAATATTCAGACTGGGTTTGAGAACCACTCATTTCTCATCATAGACATTATGCTGGAGAGGAAAAAAAACTTTCTCTATCGTGCTATTGGTGGCTAATAAATTGTTTCACCTCCACTTAAGAGTTGAACCAATTTTCACTTTAATGAAATGGCATTTTCCTTCAAAGGTTTTAGTTTTATTTTTCAATGTTTCTTCACTATGCTGTTGCTTTTTTCCAGATCATAGTATAATGAATTTCTTAACTCTACAAAATGATATTTCCTTTGTGATGAGCTTTCCAGCCATCTCTTCCCTCATCATTTTCCTAGACACAGAGTTGTAGGATTACAGGCAGTGTCGTGCAGTGGATTAGTCACTATGGTTCTTCTAACATGTGGCTCTGTAGGATAAGCACAGGACTGTTAACTGCAAGGTCGGTAGTTCAAACCCACCAGCTGCTCCTCAGAAACCCTATATGGGGTCTTTGTAACTCACTTAATGATGGGATGGGACCATGCAGATTGGGTATTATTTCCTCTTTTTCTGATAGGTCTGGGTAAAAGAAGGTGGGGGAAGATTCTGCCATCATTATATGATTTAGTTGTAACATTGCCCAAGCAAAGGGCTTATGGCTGAGTGAGGACCAGAGAGAGGCCTGCCTGCAGCCATGGCTGGCAAGAAGCTGTACTGACCAAAGAACTGTGTCCTAAGCATTTCTGACCCAGTACTGTACCCTGTTAATTTCCCTAATAAACTCCATGATCATGAGTATTGTATGAGTTTTTTGTGGCCCTTGCAATGGATTATTGAACCCAGCTGAATGAGAGGGATGGTTGGTGTCAGAATTAGGGTAAAGGAGGGTGGAGGCCGGTCTGAGAACTGGCTTTGGACTGATGCTGATTCTCCATCTCCCTACATGTGATGTTAAGAGGCCGTCAGAAGCACCCCTCCCAGGCAGGAACAAGGAACTATAAATTAATAGTCGATAGTACCATCATACTATTTCCCTGACCTGAATGAACGCCTAGACTTTCACAGCCCTTGTAGTTGTGGATTTGAAGTTAACAGGGTCGGGAGGAGAGCATGGGAAATGTAGTCAGAACTGGGTTTGAGTCCCAGCTTTGTTAAAGACTGTGAGGCCTAGGGCATATTTAACCACCCTAAGCCCCAGAGTTCTCATCTCTAAAATTCTGAAATGAGGCTGTCACCCTCCTCATAAAGCTGTTTTGAGAATTCAGTATAACATGTAAAATGCCTAACATGGGGCTTGACATTTTAAATTTCTCTTCCCTTAAAGAATTGTACAAAGTGCACTTGGCTGCTGTAAGTACGAACTCTGAACAAAACCCTTGTCAGTCACTGTTCTGAACTGTGATTAGGGTAGGGCTGTAACACTGGGCAGCCAGCAAAAGTGGAGGACTAGGAGGATACTTTCCCCTACCCTTTGTTATAAGTCCTGGTGGCAGAGTGGTTAAGCGCTCAACTGCTAACCGAAAGGTTCATGGTTCAATCTCACTTGTCACTTTACAGAAGAACTTTGGTATCCAGCTTCCTAAAGATTACAGCTTTGTAACCCTGTGGGGGAGTCTGTCGTATAGGATGGTTATGAATTGGAATAGACTTGATGACAATGTTTGGCTTTTTTGGTTGTTCACCCCTTGCAATATCTTGAATGTCCTACTTCATCAGACAAGTGAGGAAAGTTCACTGGAAGAAATGTGTGTGCCTGTGATAGGAGTTGAGATCTGGATATTGGAGATTAATCTTAAACCTAACATGAAAATTGGGCACCATGCTGTCAATTCAGGGTATTGCCTATGGTCCTGGTTCCGGGCACCATCAGTATGACAACAGTCACTTGGGTACAAGGAGGAAGCAGCAGAAACAGAATAGTTGCAGCTGAAGAACTGGTGCCTTTCCAAAGTAACAGGCCCAGACTTTCCTGTACACCTCTCCCCACACAAATGGAGCCTGTCTTACACTGGGTAGGAGTACTTATTGCAGACCGCAATCACTGAGGTGTTGAGGCCCTGTGTCATGGATGAAAAACCAACACAGCGGCGCCACTCAGGCTTGCTAGCCAGGGACCCTGAGGGCCCAAGGAAGTAACCTCCGGACGTCCTGGGTTCATTGGCTTTTACGAACTCACTGTTGGGCTAGCTCTGTATAATTTGCTTTAGTCGTATTAATTCATTCTATGCTTCAAACTCCAGTAATTGTAGCTTCTGAGAAAATGGTTTCTTATGTGCCTCTCTTAATGTCTCCACTGTGTTGGCAGTGCTTAAGATTCTGGGAACAAATCTCTCTGAGGAACAAACTCTGGCCACCTGGCAAACATAGCTGTTCTTTATCAGATTATTCAGTTGTGTTTGATATTAACTTAATACATGAGCCCTTGATACTCACGGACAAATATTAAAACAAAAAAACTTCTCCTAATGTGAGACTGTAAAAAGTTCCTAAGGCAAGTTTGCTGGGAAGCTTAGGAGACAGGCTGCCCAAGGAATTAACTCAGAGTAGATTGGTGAATTCCAGGGTTTTGTCTACAGAATAATAGTGTCAGACTTCGCAGTTCTCCCTGGGTGCAGACCATTAACATAGGTGTCTTCCTTCCTCCTACAAGCCTTGGCTACGGAAACAGCTGGACTCCTTTCAGACCTTTTGAATCCTTTTTCTCACTGAAGATTAGGTGCTATAGGTATGCTAATTAGGCTTGAGAAACCTCGAGTTGCTGCCTTGGGATTCGAACCTACAAAGTACTATATAACAATTTGCTTGAATTTCTAGAAAATTAAGGATGTTAGATTATCAAGACAATTTGTGATGTATGTTTTAGAATTTGTTCCTGTAAATCGTGTCCTGTTTTGAACGATTAATCACATTTCACTTCTGTACCCTGTCTTCAAAATCCCCGCCTTCCTTTGTGTAAAACTCCTCCCTGCAATA